GTCGTTTACTGTAAGCTTTCAATGGACGTATTTTCTTTGATAGATATGCTGCTCTATGTAATATGTTCTGTTTTTCTTCAAATCCTTACGAGGATTTTATTGCCACTGATTTCGTATTAAGTGTCTTCTTATTCCTTCACGTTCCCAGTGGAACATAGTACTTCAAGCTAGAGACTTGAAGTTTCTGTAGCAGTGGTGATTATTTTTACAGGATGAGGTTGCTAGCCTCATGCCCAACCTTTCCTCTTCACCAGCATTATTTCTGGCTTAGAGAGCATCCTAACCTCTATGGCACCGACGCACTTAAAAACTGGTGTCAGAAATGCGGTTCGAACCCACGCCCACATGGCGGACTGTGACCTGAACGTATTAAGTATCATAATCTGATTAATGATTTAGGATTGATATTGAAGTGTTTCTGTCCTCCAAAATACGAGTCGTTACCTTTGATGAAATGCATTTTATCACCTTGTTCACCTTAACGTTTACGTCAGCCATAATGGGTTGATAATTGAAGAAATCTCAAGAGGGTATACATCAAACTCGTTTACCATAAGTAAAATCTAAGCCACAATGTTGAAGCCTTTTAGTGTTTATTCGATATAAGGATATTCTTCCATAGATAATGTAGTATGCTTTATCAGATAAAAAAGCTTATTTGATTAGGTTCGTAGATAAGTCTGAACATTTCGTCTAAACATCTTACACCTGAAACATGTCTTATTTAACCAACTGAATCCAACCCTTAATTTCCCCCTTAGAATGTTTTACTTACTTTACTGTGCTCTTTCTCAATGCAAGATTTTGTTATTTCTAACATCATTAATTTTTCACCTTGTTTTTTATTCTCATTTTTCTTGTTTATACTAATGTAAAATTTGATAACGTGAAGTAATCTAGGTCTTACTTTTATTTCGTCCTAGTAAACTGTCGCTTAGTTCATATTTCTTTGATTGGACGCTAGTTTGTTTGGTGCAGACTGAAATCTATCAGTCAAGCTTGCAATATGGCCAATCAAAATATCTAATACAATCCTACAGGAAGTCAATCATGAGCCCGAATAGCTCAGTGGTAAAGCCTCTGACTACAGTACTCACTGGGTGATTCGGCTTTGAATCTCAGAAGAAACTTGAATTCCTTCAAGCTTACAGATACGCCTTGCTGACTGGTGAGTGGCAACTAGCACGAAACCTAGGTCCAAGGCTTCCTGCCGATTGCTTCCAACCAGCACATAGTGCAACTTAACAGCGTCGTTGGTGTGATTGAATATTACTTGTGATTTATGTAGTTTAAGCCAAAACAATACAGCAGTGTCAAGCAGAAAGTTTGCCAAATCTCTCTAATGGTGGTCTTCTTACCCACACAAAGTGATACATTAGAGTTATGATTGATGTCAATGAATTCTTTATTTCAACAAAAAAACTTATATGTTTAAGCCTAATCAAATGGTGGTAAGAAAGTTGGTTTCGGTGTGAAACTTGGATTGAACAGTAAACCATGAATGGGATTATTATTTACCGGTGTAAATTGCATGCAATATTCCTGGGTTGTGAGAAGAATATCAATTCTGTTTAAACCAACGATAATCAGGAAAATATTTTAGGATAGTCATCTTATAGTCTAAATGAATAAATGATCATACCCAGTTTTACTTCTATCCAGAAGTCGGCTTTTTTGGAAACCTTTATTTCCCAATACGAATTTAAAACCGGCAATAAGAGTTAGTAAAGCAGGATTTGATGAATTCATCGAATTTCGGTAGAACTCTTCAGCTGATTACTCTACATACAGGGTTATAAAATTATGATAAAATACTTTTTTCGACTGAGTATCAACTTGTGTGTTAGTTAATTCTATGTTTTAGTGTATTACTTCTCAATACTTTCCTGTAGGTTATGCAGATGTGTGGCTGTGATGGCTGGTAACCTTAATGTAGTGGTTGGACTTGCATACTTCAAGGATTTGATCGGTTACACTGGCCGCAACGAGTGTTCCTGCAGCTGTTACCATGCTAGACTGGTAGCGATCGGACTAAAAGCGGTTACCATCGTAGTGTAAATCGGTCACATTGTGTTGGGGATCGGAGAGCAAAGTCGTACTGCTGGCAGGTAGACGTGTAACAGCAGTAATGCTCTGCGGAGGGAAAGGGGTTAGAAAAGGTTGACCTTAAAAATTGTTCATTCTCACTTGCTCTGTGTCGATTCTTAGTCGGTGGTGAGGTCTTTATACAGATGCGACACTTCAAAAACTACTGATAACAGGACGGATGTGGCTTACCTCAAGCAGTTGTCCTTTGGACCCTGTGGTCATGCAGCACTCATACTGCTTCTGTTTCAGGTGTTCCAAGAATAAATCACCTTCTAGGGGAAGTAGTGATGGTGTGGTGAGAGCAGGCTGCTAGCCGATTGGTTGACACTAATCTACGTTAATGTCTAGGTCACTAATATGGGCCGTGAGAAAATATGAACAAGGCTGTTTCAACAACCAATCACAGCAAACTTAAATGTGGACAAATATGATTCGCAGATAGATGGCTCTACTTTCCGAGAAATATCGAAAACAACCAATCATAAGACTGTGTTTGTCTGCTTAACTTCCGAGAAACAACCAATCAGAAGACTGCCTTTTTCTGCTTGCATAAGCCTTATTAATGCACATAAAATATATATAAGTACGTGTTGATTTTCGTAATAAAAGGATCTGTTGCCAGCCCTTGTCTTCTGTTGTTACAATGGTGCACATACTTCCACAAAATCACACTTTTAATGTCGAGTCAAAATAGTGCGTGTTCATTCACTTAAAGATTATGTTTCTCATGGTTTTTATGCTTTCATGTTTTGATCAACATTTCTTTATATCGAGATTATGACTCACCTTCAGCTTTTTTTAGACTGTAATGATCGGATGGAGGGGGGAAGTATGTTTTTAGGCTTTGTTTCATGCCTTCCTAAGTTATGCTATTTATGGAGGGATTGGCTGAATAGATTGCACGATAATTGAATCTATAAATATCAACAAATTCTATAAGTTTTCAATTAGAATTAGTTGTAAACTTAGCTGATCGGCTTTCTGGAACAGTAAAAGTTACGATGACAGGTCAATGAATATCTTCATTTCCTCTCCACCATAACACTTCCATTTGGTACATATCCCCGATAGATTATTTTCCTTTCAAATGCGGAAATGGTGTTCACCTTTTTTTTCAAAAAAGTTCCCTTGGTTTTATTCAAATTGTCAAGTCTGAATAAAGAAGTTTTCTGTATTTTTGTTGCTGTTGTTGTTGAAATCTACTAAATCTACTTACATGTTTGCTGCATCTAACAACTTAAGTGCATAGAAAATCCTATCCTACCTTTCAAATAGCCATTTGGCTATGTGTTTGTCATATTTTGTGAAACTAAGAGCACTAAGTTATTATATGCTTCTTCTGTGGCGTATATTTTCATACTATTAAGCTATTTCATCGGCATATTATTAGAGTTTATCAGTTTGGTTACATACAGTATCTTCATTTATCATTATTTTAGATCATATTAAGAAAAATATGTTTTCATCACTTGACATCAGCGTGTTTGTCTTTATGATTCTTACAATTGGGAAAATACTGTCAGAAGTAGTCATGTTTTTACAGTCGAATGTACTAGTTAAAAGAAAGAGAAAAGCTGAACAGAAAGCTAATTACTTATTTTTTTTTTGCTAGAAATATATTCGATATAGGCATAATCAGGTTTTTTTTCTTTCGTTGATGTTTTTTATGTGTCAAAGTAAGCTAAAACCAAATTTTTTTTCTTTCCTTCACGTTCCCCGGTGGAACATAGGACTTCAACCTAGTGGCTTGAAGTTTCTGTAGCAGTTTTTATTTTACAGGATGAGGTTGCTAGCCTCATGCCCAACCTTTTCTCTTTACCAGTATTATTTCTGGCTTAGTGAGGTAAACGAGGGCGTCGACCGGGGATCGAACCCCGAACCATGTGCATGGTCGGCGAGCGTCCTAATCTCTATGCCACCGACGCACTAAAAACAAATAGTGTTCAAACAATTTGTAGGATTCGTATACCAATTTATTGATTGAGTTAGTATATCTTGTATCATTCCACTCTCTGATTAGGTTACGTTATACACCTGTTGGTTAATAATGATTCGCCTTTACTTTCTGTTCATGGTCTCTGAAAAATATGGGCGTAAGCATACAAATACTCGCTGATGACTATGGCTGCCGGTTGCGCCAATTATTGCAAATCGGCCAAAGTTAGAATCTATGAGCCCATATGATTCTGTCTGACTGGTTGAACAGTCAACAAGGTTGCTCTGTGACGTGTTCTTGGGTTTGAGCTCTGGTGGGGGGAGGGGCTCATGAGTGTGAGCTTCTGAAGAGTCCCTAACCAGGTCGAAACAACTCTCATTTACTTCCTGGTTTTTAAGGCTTTCTAACTGAAGTCATTGTTTGATAAAACTTGAAAAAATATATGAGTTTAGATCTGTAAGGAACTACAGGCTTCGTGATGATTAACATCGTGTCTCATTGTTCAAGTAAAAGAAAGCGTGAATCGTAGAATTTTTCCTTTCTACAGGTTTAGACTACCACTTTATTTTAGCTCATTAAAAGCACATAGATAAAAGGCACTCTACTGAGTTTTAAATGTGCGGGATTTGGTATCTTCTTACAGCCTACTTGTTTTATGCTTTTATGGTTAGCTGGTGAGAGACAACAAGCTTTTGTAAACCCCATGAAGTGATTTACATACCTGTTATTATCGACTGACAACTTATGTATCTGTCAGTTGAAGTCTTTATGATCAGTGAGTGTAGCATGATTAAAAGCTAAGCGAAATGACATTTTGTTCGGTTTTTTTGTTTGTTGTTGTTTCATGTCGTGCATTCAGCCTACATATGTGTGTGTGTGTGTTAACTCCTTTACTTGAAATAGGTAATTTTACAACGCATCAATCTATTATATGATACTAATCTGTTTTCCTTTCTCTCTCTCTCTCTGCCTTCAGGGATCTGGTGAATCACGAACAAATGATATAACGCATACAAATAATAAAGCTAAAAAAGAAAATGGAGTAATCACTATTCGTTCAAAAACTCTATCGAACACTGATAGTCAAGATAGTGAAACAAAACTTTCTCGTGGCAACACTACAACTATTGCTACTGCTGCTACCACGAATAGACTACTCACAAATCATGATACAGATGAAGAAGATATAAATAAAGTTAAAACAAATAAAATTGTTTCTATTAGAACAAATGATCGTAATGGATCAAAGCTTAATAATAATACTACTACTACTTCAGTGACACCTACATCAGACTACAACTATCCTAGTGAAAATAATAAACAAGGCGTAGATATAGCTTCACGTCAACAGTCTCGTGAAAGCAATAAACATCGTATTCATTCTTCACAATCACAAAACCTCATACATTCAGGTGCAGGAGGTGAAGCTATAGGCGATACAACATCACCGATAACTAAGTCTAATGTATCTAATCGAACAGATAATCTGCGTTCAGTACCTTCAGATTCTATCCCATGTACACAGAATAAACTATCTACCACTGCTGCTACTATTACTACTACTAATACCACCACTACCACTCTTCCTTCTGCCACCGTTTTGCGTAAAGCTTTACCATCCTTTCATTTCCCTCTTGGTACTACTCGTATGTCTAGTGAAGAAATCAATGCAGAATTGGAACGTATTAAACGTGAAATTAATCAATTTGTTGATCCATCACTCAGTACAGGAAAACATTCTGAACAGTTAATTCCTTATTCAAACTTTGGACAAGTGGCAAAAGTAAGTAAAACTTGAAAAGGTTATGATATAAGAATAAAACTTGTGCACTGTGGTAAAGTGTAATTCCATTATGGGTAAATTTTGTTTTGATAAAGTCTCACAGTGTTATACAGTAATCTTTACTGATGACCTAGTTTCGAGCACAATTTATTGCTCATAATCATATCAAGGTAATCACACGACTTCCTAACTTCATTTATATAGTTCCATTATTTTTCACTTGATTTGATTGGTAATAGTATTTTCCATATTTCAGTTATGAGCGATGAGTCATTCCTATTGCATGTGTTAGGTGTAGATTCGATAAACAAGGATTCAGTAATCAACCTCTCTCTCCACCTACCTGGATTACTTTTTAGAATTTTAACCCTCTCCCACCCACCCTATTGTGTCTGTCTGTCTGGATTCAACATAGAACTTGGCACCGAAGTGCACCAGTTCGAGTTGCCACTCAAGAAAAATTAAAAAGGAGAAGAAATAGCTATTTCCTCCTTCCCGGCCCACCGCCCTTTTTTTTCTTTGGGGGGGGTTCAAACACGTCCCTATTGTGTGGTTGAGTGTTAATGTATGCAGTGCAATTGCTGAGCTTTTTTCTAAATTACTTATCTTTTCAGGGTCAACCATTCTTACCTTAGCTAAATTCTTATGTTCTGACAATCTGACTACGCCTGCCCTACTAGTTTGACCTATGTAGTTGACCTCACAGTCATTGCAGGGTATTTTGTAAATTATTATTCTGTCCAATTGGGTCAACCCACAGGGTCCTTTAACCTACAGAGCTTGTCCCTGAGTGAGTTTTTAGGTTTAAATGCCACCACTCTAATTCCTGCTCTATTAAAAATCCTACTTAGGGTCTCATATATCCTCTCCTTATATGGTATAACAGTGCATGACTTATATTCTCTCTTGTGTTATCATTATTAGTTTCCCCATTATTTTTATTTTGCTTTTGGCCTTTATTGATCTTCCTAATGAATTTTATAGGATAGTTGGTTATTTAACATCAACGCCTCTTCTATCTGTTTCATTTCATCATTTAGGTTTTTTTACTACTTAGTGTTACTGCTCGGTTTGTTAGACACTTAACTAAGCCTGCCTTCACAGACAGATAACGGATGGGATGAATTAAAGTCTAAATGTCTACTAGAATGAGTTGATTTTTGTACACACTAGTGTACAGTGCAGTTTACCTTCTTCTATTCGTTTTATTTTACAATCTAACATAGCTAATTCTCCTTATTCATTTTCCGCTTTAAATGTGAATTTTATTCCCTCCACTAGTGAGTTTATGTGTGTCATTACCCCTTGTGTGTGATTACCTTGATATGATTATGAGCAGTAATCAGTTGTGCTCGAAACTTGGTCATCAGTAAAGATTACTGTATAACACTGTGAGAGTTTATCAAAACAAAATTTACCCATAATTGAGAAGGTTTTTATGTCTTGCCACATATAGAACAGTTTTAATATTGAATATTTTAACGTGACTGCTATTATTATCGTCATCATCATCACCATCATCCTGTGTTATATTTATTCAGAACATTTAAGTCAACCAATCACATTACGGTTAGGCGGTGGTTTATCACTGTTTGAATTGTTATACATGATTAATTGTATGTAATCCGATCTGTTAATCGTTAAAGGAAATTTAAGACATTTTGTTACATATACTCTTGTTTTGATGTTATGAATCATTTTCTACTTGTTCGACATGAAACAGCTGTATGTATTCAATGGATCAAATTACAGCAAAATTTTGTGGGTTCACGCGTATAACAATCAGTTCTATAGGATTTATATAGGCATATATGCATGTAAAGGGTAAGACTGAGCTGTATCAGAATCATCGTAAACTTTGACTGTAACGTATATCCACTAATGTCTTAGCTTAGCGAATCAAATTATCCAGTAATTTTTAGGAAACTAACAAAAAGTATAAACTGTCCATGAATTACAGTGAGGATGGTGTCATTATGAAAGTGAATGCGTACAAAACAATAGATTATTTAAAATTTTCTAAACAGTATAAGGCTTGTTTATTTCGTCTTGGTCACCTCTTAAGTATGAGTTTTTAAACTCCCCAACTGGTGAACCTGTCTTTTCCATCTTTTCCTGCAAACTGAATTAATTCCTTTTTATTGGACTTCAAGATTGTGGGGCTTAGTCAATCAATGAGGCTACATAGATTGACATGGCTAGGATACACGTTATGCATACGATCCGCTGACATCCTAATTTGATCAATGTTAACTGACATGAGATTAATTTGGGAAAGGGCTGAAAAAAGAAAAGTCGGGACGTGACATGAGGCTTTTCAAGTTGTGGTTTGCATGAGGTGACATTGGTCAGGGAACCATTGGAGATCCTGGGAGTACTGGACAGCTGTCTCGTCAGTTGGATGCACATTAGCGACTGATCCTATTCAGGTAGGTAGTTACCTGGGTTCTGGTGCAGAGTCGTAACCAGTGGGGTACAGCAGGTCGGGTGGGAGTACAAATACTCTCCACCAATGACATTGGCTAGCAGCGGTCGTGCTACATCGTGAATTAGCAGAAGTTAGAATTCACACATTGGTCATTGGATCAGGTTTCAGTGGCTTAATGGTCTACGAGTTCGCGTTATCAGTAGCACAGATTCATTATATTCCCGTGTTTTTCCATGTAATTATCCTTTCTTGCGTAGATCTTCTCCCACTATAGTTTTTTCGATTTTTTTCTCCTTTTGTCAACCTTTGTATGGCGCATGGAGTGTAACAAATGGAACTGCTGTACTTCCGTGCTAGATTCTGCGTTGAAAGTCAGCCAGTCTAGTTAGTCCTATTTATGTTTGTAGATCTTAGTAAACTATCGTTAGCGATGATTATCCAATCATATTGGTTGACTTTAACTCAAAGCCGTATTGACTACATCATCTTCACCTTGCGTTTAACACTGATTTTTCGTTGGTTTTATCACATACAGATTGATACTAGTCACTTATTTCGAATGGTTATCTCTCCCCTGCAAGCGTATATGCAAATAAAGCATAGTTACATTTTATCTGACTGTTGATAATTTGTGTTAAAAATCTCCCTTAGTATTATCAGTAGAATAAAAATGACAGTTTTCATCTGTAAATCTCAAGCTTAGCTATTTGATTTTTACCCCTTCTGTAATTACTTTAGATATTTGTACCTTTCATGTTATTCCCGTTTTTAACACATAATTGTGTCCTTTTTGAAAAAAAAATTATTTTAGCTGCTAAACTGTCCACTCTACTGGAAACACGCTATTTATATGAATGCTGGTGGTACACCTGATCGACAACCGGTATCCTCAGCAAACTTATTGAAAACATGGTCACAGTAAGTTCTATATAATACCTTTACTTATTTTCTTGAAATTCTCAATGAAATATGATATTTTTAGAAGTGTTCTACCTCTCCCACCCCCACCCCATAAAATATGAGACTTATGCTCAGTTTTTGTTTTGTTCACCTGGTGGTCTAACTAAACCGTATTTGGATGACTCTCTTTCTTGCTGACAAATTTCCACCCACTACCATTGAGGTCTGTCAATTTTTAAATAATTTTAATGGGAGTTCTTTGATGATAATGGAGCATACTGTAACACAGAGTAGTCAGAAGACAACTTGTTTACTTCGTTTCCCAGTAACCACCCCAGTTGACTGATGATATTCCAGTGTAACTGAAGCAGGATTAATCTCATACTCTGCGGTAACAAAAGTGTTTTGATTTCGTTACGTCCTCGCCTTTTTGTCTTTTATATATATATATATATATATATATATATATATATATATATATATATATATATATATATATATATATATATATATATATATATATATAAATTTGTCTACTTTGCCATTCTGGTTGAACAAGTTGAATTCACTGCTAAAATACGCAACGGAAATACTTCTACTGCTATTCAAGTGTTGCTTTGTAGGGAATTGATTGGTGACAGGATTTCATCACTAACGACTTGCCCTATTCAGGTAGGTAGTTACCTGGGGTTCTAGTGAGAAGTCGTGACCAGTAGGGTGCAGCAAGTCGGGTGTGACGACAAATACTCGCCGAAGATATTGGCTAATGGTGGTGGTACTATATCGTGAATTAGCAGAAGTTAGAATTCATGGGCCATTGGATCAGGTCTCGGTTGCTTAATTGTCTACGAGCTCGCCTTGTGGCCGGAGGTGATGAGTTCGAGCTCTGATGATGGGTGTATACTGCCGAAGAGACCCAAGCTAAGACGAAACAGCTAGCTATCCAGTACTCCCAGCTGGTTTTCTGACTGATGTCAGTTCATGATGAAATCCTGTAACTTCTACTGCTGTTTTTCACTTCTACAACTCCAATTCTTTATGATTTTTCTTCCTGACTTTGGGAATCTCTATTATATCATGTATATTATGTATTATTATTATTATTATTATTCATTCCTTGGGTTCGACGTAGGATGTGAAAACTACAGCAGCACATCTTCATTGTATTCTGTCCTCTGATGTGTCTTTTTTAAGCTGACTCCTAGATTGCCCACAGGCCTTCATTTCCTTTTCCTTCATGTTAACCCTCATCTATAGATAAGCTCTAACTGTTGATCATTTTGACTATTTATCGTATCTTCATTTTTTAAAATTCTTATGGAAAACTACAGATTTTAAAGTTTACTTTCTTCTCATACAGTTGAAAGTATGCTATATTGCTTACTTTTTTTATCACTTCGAACATTGTAATCTTAAGTAGTTAACAACAGCTGATGAGCAAAAAAGCTTTTCAAAATTAGGAGTTGGGATAAGATAAAAAAAACATAACCCTAGAGTAAACAGACCAAATTATCACTGTATTCATTTATAAAATCTATTATGACTAGTTTTAACTGTTGATCGATTGATAACCACGAGATAACAGAACCCGATTTTTGTTTGTCCTATTGGTATTGCTTGAGTGTGACATAAGTGTATTGATTGAAATTATATTAGAGTCTTCAAAGTATGTGATTTTTATAGTAAGGCAAACTTGCCGTGCTTTCGTCTCTGCCTGCCGGAATGGGTAGAAGGGAAGCGGTCAATTACGATTTGAATTTCCTTAGCTAGTTAGTCTTTTGTGATTTTGTATTACATGTTTAGGGAGTGAAATGCTGTAATCATATCATATCTTACCTTTGGCTATTTTAAAAAGGTGTTTCGTCGACTTCTTTTTTACGCAGTCGGCTGGAGTGTTTACTGTAGCGTTGTGTTTGCTATTACTATATGTGCGCAAAAATACCTCCCGATTACTTTATTCCAACCGTTATACACAAGAATCTGCAGAATGATTAATTGCGAGAGATATCAGAATATAGAATACTCAACATAAACTTAATTTAGTTACAGAATTTCATCATAAACTCACATCGGTTAGAGAACCATTAGAAAACTTGGGAGCACTGGACAGCTGTTTCTTCCTATCTTGGGACTGTTTGACAGTACATACACACCGTTAGGGTTGGGACCCAGGTCTTCTGGTTACAAGACCAGCGACCTCGTAGACCATTAAGCCACTGGGATCCCATCCAATGGAATCGCCTTTGAATTCTAACTTCTGCGAATTCACGATATAGCGCGACCACTAGCCAGTGTCATCGGCAGAGTGTTTGTCCTCCCACCCGACCTGCCGCACCTCACTGGTCACGACTCTGCACTAGAACCCAGGTAACTACCTACCTGAATACGGTCGGTCTCTGGTGGAAAGAAGTTGGAATTCATGAGCCATTCGGTCGGGTTCCAGTAGCTTAATGGTCTACCAGCTCTCTGGTCTTGTAACCGGGAGGGGTTCGAGCCCTGATGGTGGGGGCGTACTGATGGAGTCCCAAGCTAAGACGAAGCAGTTGTCTGATACTCCCAGGTTTTCTAATGGTTCTCTAACCGGTGTCAGTTCATGGTGAAATCCTGTAACCATGCAAATCAAATCCCTGCAAACTATCAAAACATAAATATAAATTTAATTTTTTTGAAACAGTTAGTGACTTTTTTCTTAGGGCAATTCATATGATTGTTGATTATAATTTATTAATTTGTTTTTCTTCATTTTTGTTCAGTACATTAAATACTTGTCCAGATGAAGCTTCGAAATTTGTTCATTTACTTACACGTGGACGTGCCACTTTCCTAATACAATCAGATTTTAATTCACTTATTCAGGTAAGTGTTTTCTATAACTTTAATAATTTTTTATTACTTTTTTAGGCCTCTGTAAATTTTATGATCCTATTTTCATCACTTTTGTTATCATAATAGACTTGAAGAAAATGTTAGCAGGTTCTAAAATTTTCCTATGTGTGTATGTGTTTACAATCAATCTGTCTTGATTCTTTGGAATATTTTGTATTTTTTTAAATTTTATTACATCACCTCTATCATTTCCTATGTCGTTTTGTGAGGCTGTAACTCATTGGTCTGAGCTCCTGATTGCTTAACCATTAGCTTACGGGTTCGGATATCTCTTGACCTTTTAAGGTTTGTACAGTCAGCTACAACAACAGATGTGGCTCATTACCAGAAGTATGAAACTACAAATGCTTTTTGAGTGACACCTTTCTATGTTGTTATCTACAATTGTTGGAAAAGAGAGTCGAATTCGAGTAATGATGAAGTACATCCCTAAATAACCAAGTTTGAGTGCATGTAACTTAGACAAAAGTGAAAACGAAGCTCATTCTTGATAGAATATAGCATAAAATCATGAAAATACCATTTTTATGTTGTCTGAAGTCTAGATATGACTATTAAGCAACATTTATGTCACGGACTAGTAAGACTCTAATTCCATCGAAATCAATACCTCATAAAGATTTCACTAATCCACTAAAAGTACATTTTTATTTGTTGAGATCATATCATCAGCTGTGAACAGCGTGATAAAATATAATCAAAGATACAAAGACTGTGTAAATAAGTGAAATATACTATATTGTTGTCTGTGTTGTAGTATGATGAATTTCATATGGTATTTGTTAATTTCATTTTGTTCTCTCTTTTGTTTAATTCCTTTTTGCGTTGTATTCATATTTTAAAAATAAATGTTAGTTGTTTCCTAAAAAGAATTCATTGGAGGTGGAGGTTTCATCTCCTCCATCCCTTTACTTTCTCTACTAAACATTATAGTCTAAAGTGTTGACAAGAGTCAATTAACTGGTTGAAAATGGTTACATGTCCTGTGTAGTAGATCACAACAGTATTTATAACTATTTGTTGAGCAACAGTATCACACATACTTTGCCGGGCTTAAGTTATCTAGTAATCAGTCTGTTATTGTGTTCCACATCACTAGACGCTGTTATGTCTGTAATTAAATAGTAAAATAAAACATTTCCTATGCTCAGTATAAGTGATGATAAAGCCTACGTCTGAGTAGTACATCAGTTTCAGTGAACTACTAGTCTTGATAGTTTGTGTGACAGTAAATCTTGCTTCATATTCATCATCCATATCTTGGACAGCAGACTTCAGAGTTAAAAATATCAAATTGCATTTTCATGATATTTTGTGCTAGTATATACTGTCGTGTATATTACTTTGGAAATGCTTCGTTTCAATGGGAGATGTTATGCCATAGGGTAATTGCCCCTAGTTTGAGTGAGCACCACTTGAACTTAAGTATGAAAACAAGAAGAATTCTTGATTCAATAGGCCGCATCAAGTAGCACAAAATCATGAATATGATTAACTTTGCATCCTCCTACCTAGATATAACTATGAAGCAACATTTCCTGTCTCTTGTCCCAGCAAGAACTGTGAAGCCATCCAGATAAATACCTCATAGACATTTCCTAGTTTATAATTCAATGTCAAATATCTAAATTGTATATGTTATGGCAACGTCACTACGTGAACATGGCAACGTTACAAGACACGTCGTTTTTAGGGTATGTTATAAACCCATTCTTCAAATTCTAGTGTAATATAAGAGAAAAGCGATTTGACATTGATACTGTTATACCTCTGTACGTTTATCTCATTGTTGTCAATACGTTTATTGTTGAACAGTATAAATGTGTTGGGGACTTGGCCATCGACTTACTGTGTGTAATTTAAAAGACTAGATTCAGTTTATCCAATAGGCAAATAGAAAATACAATTAGTCTTCCATATGAAATGATTTGGGAGATATGGGCAAAAGTATTGTTATGTGCGTCTTTGGCACATCGGTTAGGACGCTCATCGACCATGCACATGGTCCGGGGTTCGATCCCCGGCCACAGACGCACTCTTTTACCTCTCTAAGCCAGAAATAAAAACTGGTAAAGAGGAAAGGTTGGGTATGAGGCTAGCAACTTCGTCCTGTAAAAATAAACGCTGTTACAGAAACTTGAATTCTCTAGCTTGAAGCCCTATGTTCCACTGGGAACGTGAAGGAATGGACAAAATTGTTATGCTATACGTTTATTCTTGAAAAATAGAAGTAGAGTATTGATTAACTACTATTCTTTTGGCAATCGAGTTAGGAGGAAGACAACTGAACATAACATGACTCATCCGGTTAGTTTCACAAACACAACAAACATTGTTGGGTTGAATTGAATACATTTCATTCCATCTGCTGTGTAAGTCTTCTAGTTGCTCATTAAGTACAAAAAAATTCATGTACATTTTGATAGTTTAGCATGTTAAATGTCGACTGCAAATGTTTTGCTTGGATGTAGGTTGGATGGATTATGAACAAATTTCTCTAGATTCTCCGTAGCACTAAAACAGAATAAGTGATCATCTTTGACGACGCTCTTTGAAAAAGTTCTCAGAAATGTTACACTCGTTTTTAGATTGAATGTTATGCATGAAGTTGAAAAAAAACACGTGATTCTGCATACTAAATTTAATTGCGGAACCATCCTTTCAAAGCTACTGCCCTCTGTTCTCAATCGTGAGATTAATTGTTAGGTACAGCCGATTTGAAGATTCCTCTTCTGTATAAAGCTGAATTAATTTTATTGACATCGCAATCTGAATTGTACTCATTATTGGAATAATAATAATAATAACAATAATAATAATAATAATGTGTTAGTCAGTTGCTGTATTTATTTTAATAATTTGTCATTATAGTTCCTTTATTATGTGTCATTATAACTGCTTAATATTTCTTCATCACATCTATTTTTCTGTCTTTCTTTCTATCAGGATATCTTAGAAAGTCATCCTGGTTTAGCTTTCTTAGGTGTAGCTAAAGATTTCCATTCACGATATGTAGCGACTGTTGTAGCACGTATCTTTTTCAATGTAAATATTTCATGGTCTGGTCGTATATCATTGGGTGAATTAAGACGAAGTAATTTCCTATCTGTATTAGCCAGTCTTGAAGTTGAAGACGACATTAATTTGGTGACTCAATACTTTTCATATGAACACTTCTATGTTATTTATTGTAAATTTTGGGAATTAGATGAAGATCATGATTTAATTATAAGTCGTGGGGATTTAGCACGACATAATAATTATGGTAAGTTCATTTTTAGTACTATTATTATTATATTTTTGTGTTGATATTTTGTGTATTTCTGTCGTATAATTGTGTTTATTATGCTTGCTTTTCTGATGATATACTTTAGTAGTGTAGGAGAAAAATGGAACTAGAATGGGATGCCGATGGGTTGGGCATCCAAAAGTGATATGTAGAGGGGATCATGTGAATGGGAAATGAAAGCTTGTGAGTAGTTGTATGCATCCAGCTGAAAGTGAAGGCAGGGAACCTAGTTCAATGAAGATGTATTACTGAAAGCCTATGTTCCACCACTTGGGATATATAAAATGAATAGTAATGATAATAGTAATAATAGAACTACTAGGAATTACACTATTTGCATGAGACTCTAGTATTTAAGATTAAAATAATGTTATAGCAATTACGCGTCTGTGGTTCAATGGTAGAATGCTCGTCAACCACGGATTTCGTTCGGGTTCAATTTGTGGTGTCTCACTTAGCTGATAGTAAGTTCGGTAAAAAAGAAAGATTGGACTTGAGGCTGGCAACATTACCTTCACTGAAACTTCAATGCACAAGCTTGGAACCTTATATTCCATTGGGGGGGGGGCGGGGACGGGACGCAGAGGAATGAGTTTCGAGTATGCACTGCTTATTTTGCTGGTATGAGTTATAATCCAATTTTCGTCAAGGAATACTGTGTGCCTAATTGTAGTAAAAGTAGGAAGAACTGAATTTTTCCCTACTTATTATTGTCCAGTCTGACGGTAATCTTTCTCGTCGATGCTCGTTAATCAGCAGTCAAGTGTAATAAGAATTAAAATAATTTAAGCTAGGTTAAGAACTAACATCAGTTAGGAAATCATAGAAAACCAGGGAGTGTTGCATGTGCATGTACGCACGCACGAACCCACCGGGGACTGAACTCAGGACCTTCAGGTTACGAGGCGAGCTCATTGACCGTTCAGCTACTGAGACAGAATCCAATGGCCAGTCCATGAATTCTACTTTCTGTCAATTCGCGATTTGTAATGGCGCCAACTAACCGGTACAATGGGTGTGAGTATCTGTCTCCATAGCCGACCTGGTGAACACCCACTGGTCACGTCTTCTCACTAGAACCGCAGATAAGTTCATCCTGTAGACAGTCAGTAATGTGCATTAGATTATTTTTCGAGTGTTGGTTGTCCGGGATCAACCAACTTCCAGGTTTTTTCAAACCAATACTTGAAAAATAACAGTTTTTAGTTACTGTTATACCCTAGGGAACTTCGCAAACTCGTTGAAAAAATAAATAGTTTGACAGGGCTTTGTATTGTATGTAGGACTCGTTGTTTTCAGTGATAGAATTCTAAGTCAGTCAGTCAGTCAGTCTTTAGTTATGGACGGCTTATTTCGCAACACTTAAAGAATACGATTACCGTTATCAGATTTAGTAGTGACTAACTTGTCTCAAAAGCTTAGGGACTGTGATATCTAATGGTTTAGGGAATAATGCTTTGGGGTGCTTCACCATAATCATATGCTCTGGTGGTGCACACGTGACGTTTTGTTTCTAGATCTGCCAAGAGTGATGGGAGATTGCTTTGCTTAGTGGTTGTGTGCAAGGTTTGAAGAGGGTTGTACGCCATATATAAATGCGTTATGACCTGAGAATGTTTCAAGTGGAGACGTGGCTCATTGGCTTGAGCAAATAAGCTTCCAACCAGTGGTTCCTCTGTTCACCTACTTCAGCCAGGGCAACTGGATGGTATCATCAGCCCTCATACAATAAGTGTGGCTCTCATAGACGGGAACATGAAAACCTGTTCCGCGGATTGAGTTCAAATAACTATGGTAAGCGGTTTTCAGTTAAACAAAAAGAATCTTATCAACCAACAGCTGTTTACTATCTGTGTTCATATTATTATTATTACTCATATTTAGATGGAATGTGGTATAATTTCCTGATATCATAAGATTTTAGTTGGCTATCGTACTTAATACACTTATGTATGCTTATATACGTATGCACACATAGACCCTTCAGAAGAGAAATTTTTTTCAATATTAGGAGTTTCTATAGTTTGGTTTGTAAGGATTAGTTATGTTTTACGAGTTGATCACGGATTGATATCAGTTAGAGAACCATTGAAAACCAGGGAGTACTGGACAGCTGCTGTCCAGTACTCCCTGGTTTTCAATGGTTCTCTAACTGATATCAATCCGTGATCAACTCGTAAAAATATTAGGAGTGTTTACTTTTTACAAATAACCTTGAAAAGTGGTGTTCGAATAAGCACTACATCAATATTATTACTACATTTTTTATAACATCACTATGTTTCGTATGCTGGAAAACAATCACTTTTTGTATTGTACTTTTGGCGTTTGACCTGATTGTTTGAAGTTTAATGAAAAAATATCGTTTGTAGTGTACTTTTGTATTTGTATTCGTAGCTTTCAATATCTCATGCACTTTTTATGCAAATATTTTGTGATTGATTGATTAATTGGTAAAGCCTCTAAGGTGTTTGAATTAATTAATGACTTTCAAAAACAACTTTAGTTTTTTTCTCATATATTCAAATCATAACAGATAGCTTCTGTAAGTAAGATAATAACTATTGGTGTGTGTGTGTGTGACTCATTACGTCAGGTGAATTTAGTTGTGATAAAATATGATGCATCAGGGGTTGTTTACTAGTGGAATGCTCGCCTGCCACACATGAGGTGGTGGGAGTCTGATTCCCGCTCGTCACTAGTAGGTAAATACGGGAAAGAAGGTAGGTTGGGTGTGAGCCTGCCAAATTCATCCTGTAGAAGGGACACTGTCGCTACTGAAACGTCAAAGCCTGAAGCCCTCCGATATTCTGCTCACAGAACTCGAGGAGTAAAATAAAAGTGAAACATACTGCGATTTGTAAAAACCTGGAGTCATGTATGCATATTATGCAACCAGTCATAGAAGGGCACTCAAGGCAGTAATTCTGGCTCATAATTTAAGCAAACTATCGATATAAGTTCAGTTCTGATTGAATATATCTCGGTGATTATAAAACACACCTTGTTCTAAAAACATCTGCTATTTGTACAAAATCCTACTAAAAATATAAAAAACATAAAAATATAGCACATCTCTTCTTAATTCCTCTCTATTTGTTTAATTAAACTTTTAGCTATATCGGAGCGTATGATTGACCGCATATTCAGTGGAGCTGTAACAAGGTAAGGAATTTAGATGGTGAAAGAACACTGTTAAATGTCGTTATTATTTTTATTATTATTAAAATATACATACACTCAATAGCGATTACACTTATCAGAATATGAATGTTCTACTTTAATGGCATTCATTAATTTCCTGTTACCCATGTGTTATGTATAGATGTCTAAACTGTGAGTGAATGTGTTTACTAATTGCATTTTTTTAACACTTGATTTAGAGTAGCCTAAACATTCCTATTTGTTATACTTTCTTTAGATTATTCAGTAGGCAATTTGATGTAATTATTAAGTTGACAAGCAGTCTAAACCTCTACTCACTGACTTTTGAATAAAATAATTTCAAACCTTTTCAATGATTTTTCTCATCAAATGTGATATTTGTGCTTCAAGATCATTAGTGAGAACGGAAACCTTCTTAAATATGAGATTTGGAGGCTATCTATGACTTTTTGCGGACATTAATTTTTAGGAGTTATGTTGGATATTCTTAAATTTTTTTGTAGAACGACAAAGCTGGTTTGGCATTTGTAAACTTGGATTATCATGTCCGATTATCGATCAAAGGATGTGGCAACTATGCGGTTGTTGAAAGTGGCAGGCATGACGAGAGTGTTCACAACTTGACCACGTGTTATATTTGGTGAATCATGCTGAGTAATATTGAGGTTAGGTATACAGTATTAGGTGTAAGGCGGTGGGGGAAGTCTATCAATGAGATTGTGAAGCTGGAGTATGTGTTACGCATTTCGAGCTATTGCCTTCCTCGTTGAGCACAATTTTAACCGACACACGGTCGGATTGGAAAAGAGCCAGAGGTGATCAAACCAAACCTGAAATCCATCCATCAAGTCTTCGACTTTTAGTTTTAACCATTTCGGGAGGGAAGTGTAGACTATTTAGCTTGAGTTCCTTGAGACACTAAAAATCAATGGCTAGAGAGAGAGAGAGAGACTCTTGGTAACACAACTGAAAATCTTCCACTCTTTGTCATCTTATAGATCCTTCTTCCGTAAATTTTCGCCTATCATTGGTTCCTTTGCATTTCTTTTTTTCTCTTACTACCTACCTTTATGTATGTTTTTATAAAATGTGTGACAAGGTGAACTGTAGCACTTTTCTGCAAAGTTCTACATTTAAAATTCACTTCAGTCAGTTCCCGAGACAGAGGCAGGTGGTATTTTATAAAGAGTAAAAAGTAAACCTTCAGGATTGAAATTACCTTTTAAAAATTTTACGACTTTTAAAAAATACTAATAGTCGTCGGTGTCTCGAAAAAGTTCGTCATTAAAATCTGTACATGTAATGATTGAATAGGGCATTAGTAGTAGTACCATGCGAGAGTACTCATTACTTGGATATATTTGTATGTATGTATGATTTCAGCCATTTTTTGTTGGCAAGCTGGCTTAATGAATAACTTCTCACGTATGGTGTTTGTGCGGAATCAGTCTATAAGCTGTGTGTGGTTTTATTGTTTTCCTCTGAATCTATTATTTAAAAATTATTATTATTATTATTCTAGAACTTTTATTCTTAAATTCTTTTAAATTAATATTAAATCTGTCTCATTAAGACGTTGTGTTTTATTTTAAACTAACTGCAATAATAATAATAATAATAATAATAATCTCTTCTTTTTTCTTATTCACACACATATTTTATATACGAAGAACACAGTTGTCTCACAGTTTCAATTTAAATAATTAAATTGTAATAATTGTTGTAGAATAATACACTTTAATCTAGGGTCCCTGGTGTGATGAGATTTTCAGTAGTCTTCAGGCATTGTTATGTGTGCATATATAGGTGGTACATTGGTATATAGACTGAAGGAATTTGTTATTATCTTCTTACACCCTTATTTGTCTATTCATTCATTCATTCACCCGTGAACTCATTTGTCGTAAAATATTTCTCATCTTAGATATTATTGTTAGTTTTATTATTATTATTTTATACAACTAGAAAGTGTATGCTTTTATTTCTGTGTGTTTAATAGTAAGATAATGATAACAGCAAAATGGTAAAATAATAGAATTAGTAAAAAAAAAAGAGTTATTTGGTTGACTTCAGTGCTTATGTTATACAAACAAATCAAGGATATTTCTACAAACTCCAGTGTGGGAATATATATAACCTTAACCATCGCATTTCTCGATGATCAGTGTTAAGCTAACACAGGATCAGGTTGAAAAACTAAAACTTGTCATCAGTCCATGTAATCTTGGATAGTTAGTTTAAGCCAACCACGTAGGGTAGGGAGAGGGAGAGAGACGGTGTAGACTGGTTTCCTGGTTGGCATCGTCGAGATGCTACGAACTACCAATGGCTGGAGACACTTAGTGATATGGTTCGGTGATGCGCACATGTATTCAATCTTTGTGATCGCTGCCCATATCCATCAAGTCGTCATGTTTTTCCATGTTGTTATTTCTTCTCGCTCAGATTTCTGCTTATTATCGATTATTTGAATCTCTCTCTCTCCCTATAAATATATATAGGACTTCAAGTGAACATAGATAAAACAGAGGTGATGAAGATTCCTGGTCAACAGCAACAACACCAACAGACGACAATTAGCATAAATGGGAGGAACCTGAAAGAAACAACCTCCTTTACCTACCCACCTTGCAAGCATCGTTTCAACTATAGGCGGAACTGACGAGTATATTAAAGCCAGAATCGGAAAAGCAAGACAAGCTTTCATTACTCTCAAGTCTGTGTGCAGGAGGTCAACATCACTCAACATCAAAAATAAGATCCGGATTTTCGACTCCAATGTGAAGTCAGTCAGTGCTACTATACGATTGGATCAGAGACTTGTACTGCGCGTCATAAAGAGCATCTCAAACAAACTTCAGACCTTCATTAACAGCTGTCTTCGCTCAGTAGTCCGCTCAAGATCAGATGGCCTGTCAGAAAAGATCGCCAACAGAGAGGGATCTCTGGCAATGAGCGAACCAACAGAGCAGGAACCAATTTTGAAACAAATAGGCAGGAAGAAATGGAGATGGATTGGCTGGCCATAGTCTGAGTTTACAAATCATCATGTGACATCACTAGACAAGCCATCGCTCGATTGGAACCCGAGAGGGAAGCGGGTGGCGAGTCGGTCGTCAATGTGAGGGTGACTTGGAGGAGGTTATGTAGAGAGGAGATGAAAGCATGTGGGCAGACTTGGAGCGGAGTGAAAATGTTGACAGAAAACCGAAGGCAATAGAGACTTGGGCGGCTGAAACCCTATATTCCTCTAGGAATTAAAGGCTATGACATATATATATATATATATATATATATATATATATATATATATATATATATATATGATGAATACAGTGGTAAATATCTCGATTTCTCAGTGCTGTGGATTTATATCAAGCTACTATAGATTGATGTTTAAATGTTACTTACTTGTTTATCACTGAAGAGTCTCAATGCAGTCTGAAGTGAATCCTTCAATATTTCCTTACGTATGATTTTAGCAAAAAGAAACACCTGACATCAATTTTTGAAGTCCGTGACAGTTGGTTTGAACCATATAGGGAGGTGTAGACTGACTGGGTGGAGTCTTCGAGTTGCCAAGAGTCAGTGGTTAGAGATAGTTGGTGAGACCGTTTGAAATTGATATAAGGATAGAACTTGGTTAGTGTGGTAGAGTGTAATTCCACCAAGTATGGAAAAATCAAACGATAAGAAACAATGGAATTACATGAAGTTTGAAAGTTATGTGAGTGCCTTTATCTATGATTATGAGCAATAAAGTGTGCTCGAAACATCATTAATAAATAATACTGTATCACAACACTATGACTTTATCAGATAAATTTACTCCGTGATGGAATCGTTCAAAATTAGTCTCATTGGTACAAATGTATTCACTCTTTGTGAACTTTTAGATTAGTCGATATACAGTAGAGTTGAAGAAGAATTAGAAGTGGGCAAACCAAAACCTGGCATCATTTCATGAATTCTTTGATAAGTTCGTTTGTGAGCCAGGTAGGTAGTAGGTGTGTTGACTACCTGGTTGGGGTTGTCGAGACTCGAAGTACCAATGACTTGGGATTGTTGGTGACACGGTTCAAAATCTTCTTTAGTGGCTCAGATTCATTCTTTCTAAATTGTCCAGATCTATTCAATTCTCATATTTTTTCATGTTACTACTCTTTCTCAGCCTGGCAAGTTGAACTGTTTCACTTTTATGCAAAGTTTTATGTTGAAACTGACTTAGTTAGTTAGCATATTTTCAATATCTGTAAAAAATAGATCCACTTTGTAATAGTGTAGACTTGATTCCTACCAATCTTCCTTAAAACTTCTAAATATTTACTAGATAGGCTGAGTGACTGACTGGTTTTAACATAGAAACTTGCACAGATGTGTAGAAGTTCGAGTTGCCATACTCCCCACATGTAGCACACAAAGCAAGAGAAGAGAGTAAACAGAGATTCAAGAGAGAGAGAGAGATAATAAACAGAAATATGAGGCAAAAAGAATAGCAATATGGAAGAACAATAGAATTTTATTGAATATTATAAATCACAAATAGTGAATGTATCCACACTATTCATTGAGAACGATTTTGAGCCATATCACCAATTATCTCCAGTCTTCATTGGTTCTTACCATCCCGAGGACCCCAACCAGACAGCAGTTTACACTCCCTTCCCTATGTGACTGGCTGGCTTAATTTAACTGTTGTGAATTTCACTGACTGATAAAGTCATGTTTTGGTTTAACCACCACTAGCTTTCTTCCAACCTAATCCATCCTATATCAGCTAACAATGACCGTCGAGGAAGGCAATGAGTTACTAGATAGACAGAGTACATGTTTCTTATAACTTTACAGCTTGTTATCAGATAGCAAGCATGCTTTTAAGTTGACTTTCAACCCAGACTTATTTCTAGGTTTAATGTTAAGCCTTTAGGGTACATATATGGTGTGTAAAAATGTCAAATCTATTATTATTATTATTGGAGAAAACCTTGCCATGTGAAATTCCTAGCAGGCGTTGCATACTTCAGTATACCAACCACAATAAAGAGTTGAATTCTTACATAAGGTTGAAAATAAGCATTATTGACAGATGTGTAACTACTGAAAAACACTGTTGTTTATGGTTTCGATTTTAAGGTGGTAGTATTGGGATGTTGTAGAGACAGACATGTCTGCATCCTGTCGTCTTTCCCTACATTTTGACTCATTGATCTACCTTATTTATTTCAATG